TTTTCTTTCAGTGATCATTTCGCACTTCAAGGGAGGTTGGGAGACCTACCGAACTTGCAAAAATCGGGATTTTTTATTTTTCTCGAAATTTTTTGCAAAGTTCAAACTTTTCTTGTTTGATTAGTGGCTCCTTATCTAAGTGATTGATCGGGCGATTATCCCACCCACCCCTCCCCACCTATGTTGTTGCGATCTCTCGCCTTTCCGTTTCTGTTGGTATCCGGGTACCCCCTGCGGCGGCATTGGTGAGTTGCCACGTCAGCAGGCCACATCAGCAGACCACGTCAGCAGGCCACGTCAGCAGGCCACGTCAGCAGACTACGTCAGTACGTCAGCAAGCCACGTCAGCAGGCTACGTCAGCAGACCTGCCGAGTACGGACTGGATCGTCGAGTACCAACGCTTGACGTCAGTCCCAGACATCCAGATGGGCTTCAAGGCCATCCGCCATTACTTCATCTCAAGGTCATGTCCGGCATTGAGTACTGCCCTGACGCATGTCGAGGACACCTTGACAACGACGGCGGAGTTTTTCGACAAGGCTGCGCAGATCATTATCACGAAAAAGGAGGCCAAGAACCTCCGTTCATCTGCGTCAGGCCCGAGCAGGGACCAGCGTCGGCCAAGAGTGGTCGTGGTCGCAGCAGCAGCGCCGTTTGACCAATCCAGCGAGGCTGTGTCTACCAGTGAAGGGGACAGACTCGCAGCTGCCCGGGAAGGTGGCCACCCCGGCAGAGGCCGAGGACGCGGCAAGACGAAGACACACACCGCATCTAGCCCCAGGCCCGGTGCAGCAGCTCAGGCAGGCCCATGGTCCCAATATGGCATCTTCGAGCAAGCATTCAAAGCACACGAGAGATTCCATTATTGCCTTTGGTGCAACAACGATCTTCATCAGACGCAGGTCTGCCCATTGAAAGGCAAGTGCAAACAGGGAAACTGAGCACCGCCGAGAGTGACTCGACGACACTCTCGACGCCTTCGGAACCCCTTTAGTCGCGAGTAACCAGCCTTCATTCCGAGGTGCACGCGGAAGTCGATAGTCCTCCTCTTCTACTTTCTTTTGTGGACTATGCTGCCCGACTCGTTCCTATGCTGGGTACTCAAGCTCAAGGACAAGAAGTGTGTGCGGTTTCTTCTCCGTCCGGCAATGGCGACATATCGTCTTCAAGTGGTTCTTCACGGGATTCGGCACGCGAGTTCAACATAGAGGCATTGGACCCGCTCACGTTCGAGGACTTTGCATGGCTTCCTCTCCTGACCACAGGCCGCTTGCCGGGACCGCAATGCGCAGCACTTAGCTCTCATCTCCACACTTACTTATCCTTCTATGCACCACCAACTTCGCCGACGGATGACGAAGTCGCGGTGGGGGACATCCTGGCGTATACTACCAAGGTGGCCCGCGAGTTTCGCACGCAGCGGTATGATGACAACAACGCACCGCTCATGTATGTCCGCATTCAGGTTGGGAAAGCGTCCTGCAGCGCTTTGCTGGATAGCGGCGCGTCTCGCAATTTCATGAGCTAGTCCTTTATGCAAAAGGCTGGCCTTGGCGCACAAGTTCGGAGGAAGGCAAACCCGACGACCATCAAGTTGGCGGATGGAAAGAGGCAACAACTTCTCGACCATTACATCGAGGCCGTACCGGTCTACTTCGCACCTCATGCATGCGAACCGGTGACATTCGATATTCTCGACGCGGACTTCGACATCATTCTGGGAATGCCTTGGCTTGCAAGTGCGGATCATACGATCAACTTCCACCGACGGACTCTTAGCGTTCGCGATACCTTCGGCGCGGAAGTGGCGTGTACTATTCCTCTACCGCACCCTTCGATCCGGTGCCAAGTGGTGACGGCCAAATCATTCCGGGTGACTTGCGCTTACGAGCAGCCCAAGGAGATCGGCCTATGTTTTCTACGGACCGTCGCGGTAGCCGACTCTTCACCCACGGACTTGTCTTCGGACCCCGGTTTGATACGGTTGCTGGACCAGTTGGCCGACATCTTCGAGTCACCTACCGGTGTGGTGCCGGATCGGCCGATCTCTCACGAGATCATTCTTGAGGCCGGTGTTGTACCGCCGAAAGGTTGCATCTATCGGATGAGCGAGGAGGAACTTGAGGTCCTCCGCGCACAACTCGACGATTTGTTGGCCAAGGGTTGGATCCACCCTAGCAGCTCCCCATATGGAGCACCAGTTCTCTTCGTCAGGAAGAAGAACAAGGATCTACGACTGTGTATCGACTACCGCAAGCTCAACGCACAAACCGTCAAGAATGCGGGGCCTATTCCTCGCATCGACGATCTTCTTAAGCGCAAAATATTTTTCCAAGTTCGATTTGAAATCATGATATCATCAAATCTCGATCCAGCCGAACGACCGCTACAAGACCGCGTTCAAGACGCGGTACGGACATTTCGAGAGGGTGGTCATGCCTTTTGGCCTCACCAACGCCCCGGCGACCTTTCAGGCGGCAATGACCAATGAATTCCGTGCAATGTTGGACCGGTTCGTGCTGGTGTACTTAGACGATATTCTCGTCTATAGCCGGTCATTGGAGGATCATCTTGGGCATCTTCGACGAGTGTTGGAGACGCTCCACCGCGCCAAGTACAAGTCCAACCGCGACAAGTGTGAATTTGTCCGGCAGGAGCTGGAATACTTGGGCCATTTCGTCACACTGGAGGGCATCAGTCCGCTATCGGACAAGATTCAAGCCGTCCAAGAGTGGCCGGAGACTCGGAACGTCACAGATGTCCGCTCGTTCCTCGGTCTCGCCGGCTACTATCAGCGCTTCATCAAAGGCTACTCAAAGATCGCGGCCCACTTGAACAAGCTTCAATGCGAGGATCGGTCGTTTGACTTCGCAGAGGAGGCGCGGGGATCATTCTTCGCTCTCAAAGCCGCGCTATTGTCTACGGAGGTCTTGCAGATATACGACCCGCTCTTGCCTACGCGCGTCACTACGGATGCGTCAGGCTATGGCATTGGTGCAGTCCTTGAGCAACATGACGGTGTGGATTGGCACCCGGTTGAATACTTCAGCAAGAAAGTGCCCATCGTGCATTCCATTGATGATGCACGCAAGAAGGAGCTCCTCGCCTTCGTCCACGCGCTCAAGCGGTGGCAGCACTTCCTCCTTGGTCGAAGCCAATTTCGCTGCGTAACGGATAACAATCCGTTGGTCTTTTACAAGACCCAAGACACCGTCAACAGCACCATCGCTCGATGGATGGCTTTCATCGACCAGTTCGACTTCTTTCCCGATCACATTCCCGGGAAGTCGAACCGTTTTGCGGATGCTCTTTCACGGCGTCCAGATCAATGTACCGCGGTCTACTCAACCTTCGAGATCGACGACGACCTGCCGAACAGTTTCATCCGCGGCTACCAAGCCGACCCCGAGTTTCGCGACAAGTACACAAATTGCTCCTCTCCTAATCCGACTCCTTCTCACTACCGGATCCAAGAGGGGTATTTGCTCGTCCACACGTGGGGGAAGGACCTCCTTTGCGTACCGAGTGATCCTCACTTGCGTACACGGCTTCTTGGCGAGTTCCACGACGCTCCCGCCACCGGACATTTTGGAGTCAATCGCACGATTGGCCGAGTCCGCGAGCGATTTTGGTGTCCCGGCCTTCTCGGCGACGTCACACGCTATTGCGAGTCGTGCGAGGTTTGCCGACGCTGCAAATCCCGCAATCATCGTCCGGACGGCGAGTTACGACCACTACCAGTCCCGTTGAGGCGAAGGGAAGCGATTGCCATGTACATTACCGGCCCGTTTCCCAAGCACAAGACCGGAGTGGATGGGATTCTCACGGTGGTCGACCGACTCACCAAGTTCGCCATGTTCTTGCCTTGTCGCTATCATGCCAAGGCACCGGAGTTGGCCGAGGTTCTGTACGCCGGTTGGATTCGAACCAAGGGTTACCCCAAGGAAATCGTCTGCGACCGCGACACTCGGTTCATGTCCGATTTTTGGTTGGCACTCATCAAGCGATGGGGCTCATCTCTCAAGCCCAGTTCAGCTCACCACCCTCAGACCGATGGCCAGACGGAGAGGGCGCATCAGACCGCACAGGTTCTCCTCCGCACTCTCATCCGCCCCAACCAGAAGGACTGGGTTGAGCGGCTGCCGGATGTCGAGTTGGCCTACAACTCATCTATCCACCTGGCTATCGGGATGTCGCCCTTTGAGTTTGAGCACGGCTCGCCGGTCACTTCACCGTTGGACACTATTACTCCACGAACGGTCGAGAGTGACGACCATCTTCTTTTCTTGCGTCGGATGCAAGAGCTTCTTGTCAAGGCACGCGATCAGATGGCTAAGACGCAGCAGCGCATGAGCCAACAGGCCAATCGCCAGCGTCTTCCTTGCCCATTCCGCGCAGGCGACCTTGTTTGGGTTTCCGCAGCGGAATTCAGCCTTGAACAAGACATCTCTCGCAAGCTCCTCCCGAAATGGATGGCCATGGCCGATCGTAGCGCCCGCTGGGGACGCACCCGAGGGACCTTCCTTCACGATTCAGCTGCCTGGCCACTTGCCGGTCTACCCAGTCTTTCATTGCTCCAAGTTGGCTCTTTACACGCCAGCGGAACATGACGATTTTCCCGGGAGACGTACGCAAGACCCACCTTCTATGGACGGTTTTCAGGAGGTCGGCGACATCATCTCCCAGCGACGCTACGGCAACAAGCCAACTGAGTATTTGGTGCACTTTGCATACTGCACACACCGAGCTGACCGTTGGTTAACGCGTGCGGAACTTCAAGCAACAGCTCCAGACGTTCTTGCACGCTATGAACGCAAGATGCAAGGCAAGCCGGTTTCTTCGGTTCCACGCTGCGCCCGCGTCCAGGTTCCACCTTCAGATCGTCGACTTCGCCCTCGCCCGAGCTTGACTTCATAAGGAGGGGGGGGGTGTTACATGCTGCGCCTGCACACGCAGGCCATTTTCCAGGCCCTGCGCCCTTCAGCCAAAATCGGCCTGGCTGGCCCTTCAGGCAGTCAGGAGGCAGGCCGTGGATTGGTAAGAGCAGCCTCCTCGGCCTGGCTGGCCCGTAGGAGACGGGCCGTGGAAGTATATAGGTACCCCTCTAGGCACTTCACGATTCATTCAGGAGGCAGTAGTCTTCATGATTCGGGAGCAGCACTATGGAGGGAGCACTGCGTTATAGTAGTGGTAGCGTTAGCTTGTAGTCTTCAGCGCTGGGCGCAGTAGGTAGCTGTAGTTTCCAGCGCTGGGCGCCATAGCTAGGATAGTGTGAGAGAGAGAGAGAGAGAGAGAGTTTGGGCGGAGGCCAGGAGTACTTACCTGCAGCGCCGTTGCTCCAGCTTCGTCTTCGAGGTACCTGCAGCACAGCGCCCACATCACAGGTTAGTATCTGGTTCGTAACAGTGAGAGAGAGNGCGCCGTTGCTCCAGCTTCGTCTTCGAGGTACCTGCAGCACAGCGCCCACATCACAGGTTAGTATCTGGTTCGTAACAGTGAGAGAGAGTCTTTTTCTTCCTCTTCTCAGTCCACCATCTTCTTCTCTCCCTCTCAMCATCTAACTTCACTGCATCTGCAGACTGCGAGAGAAGAGAGACAGAGCTTGGTGACAYTGGATCCAGACTCGACTTTTGGGGACTTCAGACAAGGCAACGAGGGATTATTTGGGATTGGTGACCAAGACTTGGTGTTAACGACATTCCCATCACTCTCCCTCCTTTCGTCTGTTCCCTACCTCTTCGTCTGTGTATGTCTGAACCTGGCGCTTCTTCCTGTGTACAGCGCCAGGCTCCCTCACACTYGGTGATGGGTATGATGCATGTTTGGTCTGGGTTCAAACATTGATTGGGCTCATTATCAGTATTCTAGCATTCTGCTTTGCTACTTGTTACTACGTGAGTGAGGTYWGTCCCTGTCAGGTCAGTCCTTGTATCAAAGTCTTCCCTGCGCTATTCAGCACCTTTGTATGTATGAGAATGCACATTGTCTGTCGAGATTCTACTCGCACTGCATTGTCCATTCTGTCCTTTTCATCGCATTGCAGATCCTCGGTTATTACGTACATGGCATATCTGTGCATGTAACATGTATGTTCGGCCTGCATTCCGACATTGATTGGGCTGATCATTGGTATTTTAGCCTTCCGCTGCGCTGTCCTGTACTATGTGAGAGAGGTCGGTTCTTGGCTCTGGTCTGTACCATTACGGTATGCGACACTGGGGCTGTGTACTAGTTAGTTGTTTAGCGCGCCAGCCATTGCTTGCTAACATTGCTGCGATGGTTTGTTTCAAATTTTCAAAATGCATGTAGTCGAGCGCGGCAGGCCCATTCATCCCAGCGCACTTCCCGGCACGTGCACAGCTGCACTTTCGGGAATCGGGAAAAAAAGTAGTAGTGGTTGTTTAAGCAGAAGTTAGTCGAAGCAGCGGAACAAGAACAAGATCAAGAACAAGAACAAGAACCATCTGCGATTATGCATGTGTGTTAAAAAATGTGCAGCAGGCAAAGAAATGTTCATACTTCAAAGTGGGGTGGTATCTGTGAGCATGTGTGTTGAAAGGAAGGCACTTTTTTTTTTTTTCCCATGCCAGGGGCAGATTTATTCAGTCAAGTATGATCGGCCCCCTCTTTTTTTTTTTTTTTTTTTTTTTTCTGGGTACTCTCGGTTTTGATGAAAGTGTTGTTAGGGTTGGACAATGTTTGCTGGCCTTGATTTCGTCGCGCTTGGCAGGAGCGAGTGCCTCTCCCATTGTTGGGACCACCTGCCTTTTGTAAGGGACGCCGAGCCCGTTTTCCGGCAAACCGAAGCCGGGTGATGCTCGCGGTCCTCGGGGAAAAAAAAAAAAAAACAGAACTCAAATGAAAGCAATTTTAATTCAAAGTGTGAGGTAAAAATATGGAAACAACAGAAAATTGAAGCCTGAGATATTTATGCGAAACACAAAGATCAGATCTCTAAGGCAGACGACAAAGCGAGAGAGATAAGAGATGCGCTCATAAAAAGTAGGGACGGAAACCTCCCTCCCTCCACGCCTCCCCTCCTGACCACACTACTACTGAGTCTGTACTGAGTCATTCCATGATGCCCAGCCATATAACCTCGTTTCCCCTCCCCCYCCCCCCCYCCCYCCCTCCCCATCAACCCCTCAACCCTTTCTCATGTTTGGGCTTTCACAACCCCCTGAAAAAAAAAAAACAAAAAAAAAAACTATGTAACTATTAGTGGCTAATGAAAGTCAGCAGACTTGTTGCAGATGTTCACAACAGCCTTTTTTAAGACAAAAAAAAAGACCCGATTTTCTACGATTACTTAAAATGCCCGACCCTTTATACGTTTCTTTGCTGGCAAAAGGAAGTCGAAGAGAGAATACAAGAACAATAAAGTTGTATAAACAGCGAAGAAGGAACTACATGCTCTGACTCTGACGCCCAAGCCGCGCCTTCCGGGGACTTCGATCCGCCGGGTTGACGCCCCTACGTCGAGGGACCGTCGGTGTGCTGTGCACCTACTTCGACGGGGGGAACTGCAGATGAGGAAGACCTATGCCGCGTGCGCTCTTGACGGCTGCGGGCCCATTTTGAAGTTTGAACTGCAAACAGAGCCCTGCCTCTCAGTGACTCCAGGTCTTCCCATCATGTCCGTGGCGTACAGCTTGAGCTGTGTCCTCAACTGCTCCTGGAAGGCGAAAGGAGCGCGACTGCAGGTCTTCCCATGTCCGCGGCGTAGAGCTCAAGCTCTCTTCACTGTTCCAGGCAGGGGAAAGGAGCCTAGGGCATCGTAGTATCGAAGGCAACATGGTCACAGTCACAGTGGGCAGACAAAGACGTTGTTTCCGTTATCAACAGCCCGTACGGCGTCCGAGCAACACGCTTACCGAGGAGGAGGGGCTTTGGGCGCCGCACCTCGGTTCGCCGTTTGAACAACAAATTCAGCAGTTTGCCGAGCTCATGCCTCTCATAAATGCACTCCTCTCCATGCTCCAGGCCTTGAATAACCAGAGCTATATCATCAATCCCAAAGACTAGACTAGAAGATGGTGCCCTAGACCATATGTTCTGCCTCTCACATATGCACACTAGAAACATGCCTGCCTCTCACATATGCACACT